TGCAGCAATAGACCATGCAGCAATAGACCATGCAGCAATAGACCTTGCAGCAATAGACCATGCAGCAATAGACCTTGCAGCAATAGACCTTGCAGCAATAGACCATGCAGCAATAGACCATGCAGCAATAGACCTTGCAGCAATAGACCATGCAGCAATAGACCTTGCAGCAATAGACCTTGCAGCAATAGACCATGCAGCAATAGACCTTGCAGCAATAGACCTTGCAGCAATAGACCATGCAGCAATAGACCTTGCAGCAATAGACCATGCAGCAATAGACCATGCAGCAATAGACCTTGCAGCAATAGACCTTGCAGCAATAGACCATGCAGCAATAGACCATGCAGCAATAGACCTTGCAGCAATAGACCTTGCAGCAATAGACCTTGCAGCAATAGACCTTGCAGCAATAGACCTTGCAGCAATAGACCTTGCAGCAATAGACCATGCAGCAATAGACCATGCAGCAATAGACCAATAGACCGTGCAGCAATAGACCTTGCAGCAATAGACCATGCAGCAATAGACCTTGCAGCAATAGACCTTGCAGCAATAGACCATGCAGCAATAGACCATGCAGCAATAGACCTTGCAGCAATAGACCTTGCAGCAATAGACCATGCAGCAATAGACCTTGCAGCAATAGACCTTGCAGCAATAGACCATGCAGCAATAGACCTTGCAGCAATAGACCATGCAGCAATAGACCATGCAGCAATAGACCTTGCAGCAATAGACCTTGCAGCAATAGACCTTGCAGCAATAGACCTTGCAGCAATAGACCTTGCAGCAATAGACCATGCAGCAATATACCAATAGACCGTGCAGTGATAGACCTTGCAGCAATAGACCATGCAGCAATAGACCTTGCAGCAATAGACCATGCAGCAATAGACCTTGCAGCAATAGACCATGCAGCAATAGACCATGCAGCAATAGACCTTGCAGCAATAGACCTTGCAGCAATAGACCATGCAGCAATAGACCTTGCAGCAATAGACCTTGCAGCAATAGACCTTGCAGCAATAGACCATGCAGCAATAGACCTTGCAGCAATAGACCATGCAGCAATAGACCAATAGACCGTGCAGCGATAGACCTTGCAGCAATAGACCATGCAGCAATAGACCTTGCAGCAATAGACCATGCAGCAATAGACCTTGCAGCAATAGACCATGCAGCAATAGACCATGCAGCAATAGACCTTGCAGCAATAGACCTTGCAGCAATAGACCATGCAGCAATAGACCTTGCAGCAATAGACCTTGCAGCAATAGACCATGCAGCAATAGACCATGCAGCAATAGACCTTGCAGCAATAGACCTTGCAGCAATAGACCATGCAGCAATAGACCAATAGACCGTGCAGCGATAGACCTTGCAGCAATAGACCATGCAGCAATAGACCTTGCAGCAATAGACCATGCAGCAATAGACCTTGCAGCAATAGACCATGCAGCAATAGACCATGCAGCAATAGACCTTGCAGCAATAGACCTTGCAGCAATAGACCATGCAGCAATAGACCTTGCAGCAATAGACCTTGCAGCAATAGACCATGCAGCAATAGACCTTGCAGCAATAGACCTTGCAGCAATAGACCATGCAGCAATAGACCATGCAGCAATAGACCTTGCAGCAATAGACCTTGCAGCAATAGACCATGCAGCAATAGACCGTGCAGTGATAGACCGTGCAGCAATAGACCGTGCAGCAATAGACCGTGCAGCAATAGACCGTGCAGCAATAGACCGTGCAGCAATAGACCGTGCAGCAATAGACCGTGCAGCAATAGACCGTGCAGCAATAGACCGTGCAGCAATAGACCGTGCAGCAATAGACCGTGCAGCAATAGACCGTGCAGCAATAGACCGTGCAGCAATAGACCGTGCAGCAATAGACCGTGCAGCAATTTACCATGCAGCAATAGACCATGCAGCAATAGACCATGCAGCAATAGACCTTGCAGCAATAGACCTTGCAGCAATAGACCTTGCAGCAATAGACCGTGCAGCAATAGACCGTGCAGCAATAGACCGTGCAGCAATAGACCGTGCAGCAATAGACCGTGCAGCAATAGACCGTGCAGCAATAGACCTTGCAGCAATAGACCTTGCAGCAATAGACCTTGCAGCAATAGACCTTGCAGCAATAGACCATGCAGCAATAGACCTTGCAGCAATAGACCATGCAGCAATAGACCATGCAGCAATAGACCTTGCAGCAATAGACCTTGCAGCAATAGACCATGCAGCAATAGACCTTGCAGCAATAGACCTTGCAGCAATAGACCATGCAGCAATAGACCTTGCAGCAATAGACCTTGCAGCAATAGACCTTGCAGCAATAGACCTTGCAGCAATAGACCATGCAGCAATAGACCATGCAGCAATAGACCTTGCAGCAATAGACCTTGCAGCAATAGACCTTGCAGCAATAGACCATGCAGCAATAGACCAATAGACCGTGCAACAATAGACCTTGCAGCAATAGACCATGCAGCAATAGACCTTGCAGCAATAGACCATGCAGCAATAGACCTTGCAGCAATAGACCATGCAGCAATAGACCATGCAGCAATAGACCTTGCAGCAATAGACCTTGCAGCAATAGACCATGCAGCAATAGACCTTGCAGCAATAGACCTTGCAGCAATAGACCATGCAGCAATAGACCTTGCAGCAATAGACCATGCAGCAATAGACCATGCAGCAATAGACCTTGCAGCAATAGACCTTGCAGCAATAGACCTTGCAGCAATAGACCATGCAGCAATAGACCTTGCAGCAATAGACCATGCAGCAATAGACCTTGCAGCAATAGACCTTGCAGCAATAGACCATGCAGCAATAGACCGTGCAGCAATAGACCGTGCAGCAATAGACCGTGCAGCAATAGACCGTGCAGCAATAGACCGTGCAGCAATAGACCGTGCAGCAATAGACCGTGCAGCAATAGACCTTGCAGCAATAGACCTTGCAGCAATAGACCTTGCAGCAATAGACCTTGCAGCAATAGACCTTGCAGCAATAGACCATGCAGCAATAGACCTTGCAGCAATAGACCATGCAGCAATAGACCATGCAGCAATAGACCTTGCAGCAATAGACCTTGCAGCAATAGACCATGCAGCAATAGACCTTGCAGCAATAGACCTTGCAGCAATAGACCATGCAGCAATAGACCTTGCAGCAATAGACCTTGCAGCAATAGACCTTGCAGCAATAGACCTTGCAGCAATAGACCATGCAGCAATAGACCATGCAGCAATAGACCTTGCAGCAATAGACCTTGCAGCAATAGACCTTGCAGCAATAGACCATGCAGCAATAGACCAATAGACCGTGCAACAATAGACCTTGCAGCAATAGACCATGCAGCAATAGACCAATAGACCGTGCAACAATAGACCTTGCAGCAATAGACCATGCAGCAATAGACCTTGCAGCAATAGACCTTGCAGCAATAGACCATGCAGCAATAGACCTTGCAGCAATAGACCATGCAGCAATAGACCATGCAGCAATAGACCTTGCAGCAATAGACCTTGCAGCAATAGACCTTGCAGCAATAGACCATGCAGCAATAGACCTTGCAGCAATAGACCATGCAGCAATAGACCTTGCAGCAATAGACCTTGCAGCAATAGACCATGCAGCAATAGACCGTGCAGCAATAGACCGTGCAGCAATAGACCGTGCAGCAATAGACCGTGCAGCAATAGACCGTGCAGCAATAGACCGTGCAGCAATAGACCGTGCAGCAATAGACCTTGCAGCAATAGACCTTGCAGCAATAGACCTTGCAGCAATAGACCTTGCAGCAATAGACCTTGCAGCAATAGACCATGCAGCAATAGACCTTGCAGCAATAGACCATGCAGCAATAGACCATGCAGCAATAGACCTTGCAGCAATAGACCTTGCAGCAATAGACCATGCAGCAATAGACCTTGCAGCAATAGACCTTGCAGCAATAGACCATGCAGCAATAGACCTTGCAGCAATAGACCTTGCAGCAATAGACCTTGCAGCAATAGACCTTGCAGCAATAGACCATGCAGCAATAGACCATGCAGCAATAGACCTTGCAGCAATAGACCTTGCAGCAATAGACCTTGCAGCAATAGACCATGCAGCAATAGACCAATAGACCGTGCAACAATAGACCTTGCAGCAATAGACCATGCAGCAATAGACCTTGCAGCAATAGACCATGCAGCAATAGACCATGCAGCAATAGACCTTGCAGCAATAGACCTTGCAGCAATAGACCATGCAGCAATAGACCTTGCAGCAATAGACCTTGCAGCAATAGACCATGCAGCAATAGACCTTGCAGCAATAGACCATGCAGCAATAGACCATGCAGCAATAGACCTTGCAGCAATAGACCTTGCAGCAATAGACCTTGCAGCAATAGACCATGCAGCAATAGACCTTGCAGCAATAGACCATGCAGCAATAGACCTTGCAGCAATAGACCTTGCAGCAATAGACCTTGCAGCAATAGACCTTGCAGCAATAGACCATGCAGCAATAGACCTTGCAGCAATAGACCTTGCAGCAATAGACCTTGCAGCAATAGACCTTGCAGCAATAGACCTTGCAGCAATAGACCTTGCAGCAATAGACCTTGCAGCAATAGACCTTGCAGCAATAGACCTTGCAGCAATAGACCTTGCAGCAATAGACCATGCAGCAATTGACCATTCTGCAATTGACCGTGCAGCAATAGACCGTGCAGCAATAGACCGTGCAGCAATAGACCGTGCAGCAATAGACCGTGCAGCAATAGACCGTGCAGCAATAGACCGTGCAGCAATAGACCCATCACCAATATACCATGCAGAAATAGACCGTGTGGCAATATTTTTTGTTCTCACTTTTCTTGCCCTTACGCTTTCCCCCCTACTCTCTCTCCCGCATTCCACCAAACTCACGGTATCCCATTCCTCATCTACCCCATGTGGGCTGTGCGGCTGTGCGTACGAGCAGAGGGGGAGCCAGCGAGTGCATGCCCTGTCCCGAGGGCACCTACTCTCTTGAACCCCCTCGCATCAACTGCACCCAGCGCCCACGTGCGTCGCTCCCCATTCCTTCCTCGCCTGCTCCTCTTCCCGCTCCGCTCCCCTTCGCTTCCTGCTTGTCCACGTGTCTTCGGCTCATCAACACCCCCTATTCATCCCCTCCCCATCCTTGTTGTTTTCCACTTCACCCTTCGTTGTGTCTTTGCTGCTCTGCTCGTCACACTATTCTTGCTGTCACACGTTGCTTACGGGGCACAGCAGGCATGATTTTTTTTTTTTTTTTTTTCAAGGAAAATATGTAAAAGGTGGATACAATCGCTATTCATCATTACCTTCTGTCATTCCACTTCTTCCAAGCGCTCGCAGTCTCCGTTCCCTTCAGCCTCCTCTCCCTTTTCCCCCTTCTCCCCCCCTCTTCCCCCTTCCCTCCTCCCTTGCCCTTTCTTTTCCCGCATCACTCCCTTCCCCATGCGCTCCCGTGCAACCAATCACAGCCTGCCAGGTGGAAAAGCATGCGGCCTCCTCCTACTCTGACTGCGACGCCACCACCAAGACTAGAAAGAAGGTGAGCCTCCGCCCACCCACCTCAACCCAGCCCCCATCCGTCCAGCCCTCTCAATCCACCTCCTATCCGCCCCACTCCTCCTTGATCCACCTCAATCCACCTTTCTTTCCCCTCGCATCCACTCCTCAGCAGCCCTTCGCCCCCCTCTCGTCTGCCCTGCCTCTCGACCTTCCACCACCCACTTTCTCTTGCTCTGCTCACCTGTCCCCCGTCCTGCTGTGCTTCAGTCTTCAGACGCCTCGTAGCTCGCCTGTTTCAGCTCCTTGCCACACTGTGCGCTTTTATACCCTGTGTGCACGCCTCGTTTCTAGCGGCAACTGGAGGTTAAGGAAGCTTCTTGTGACCTACTCTGCCCTGTCAGCTTTTGAGGCGCCTCAAAAGTCAGCTCGCTCCATTCATTATATGCATTTCTGCCCGTCTGTTGCATGGATGAGTGCATGTACACATGTGTGTGTTGGGGGGAGGGAGGGGGGGGGGGGGGTGGGGGGGAGGGGGGGAAGGTGGGAGTGGGGGTTAGGGGAGGGGGTGGTGTGTGAGAGTATGACATGCCGCATGGACATGGAACATGGCATGGCATGGCATGGCATGGCATGGTATGGCATGGCATGGCATGGCATGTTATCGAGCATGGCGTGTAGGTGTGGAAGTGGTTGGAGCCTCGTATCTGCAGTCCCACAGCAGACAGCCCCCCCTCCCACCAGATGAAACCGAGCCCTGCCGTACGTTGCCTCCTGCCATCCTCCCCCACTTCACTATCCCAGGGAATGCTTGGAAATCCGCACACCCCACCCAATCCGTCTACTGCAGTGTTGTATATTTTACGCCCCCCCCCCCCCCCGCCCTGGTCTTTCTCAAGCTCGCTCCCTCTGTTGTATATTCACTCGCTTCTTCGCTTCTCGCTCTCTCTGTGCTCCTCCCCCCGGGTCACCAGCCCCATGCCCGCCTGGGCAGGTATCAGCAGTGCTACAAGTCAACAACACCATCATATGCAAGTTCTGCCCCTCCGGTATGGCTCCTCTCAACACCTGCCCCACCGCCCTCTGTTTTCCGTGCTGGACCGTTTCCCCCACGTGCTCTCCAGCAACCCTCCTCTCCCTCACCCCGTTGCCTCGATCAACCACTCCCCCCCATACTACTCTTTCCCCCCCCGCCTGTCTGACTCTCTGTGCGTTCGTTTTTCTGACCGTTTTTTTCTGACTCCCCCCCATACTCCTCTCTGTCCGTTTCGTACTTACCGTCTTCCCTTCCCTCCCTCCCTCCCGAACCCCCCCCCTCCCATCCCTCCCTCCCTCCCTCCCTCCCCCCTTCCCCGCCCTGCACCCCCCCCCCAGGGCACGGCCAAGGCCATAGACAACACAACGCAGACGGAGATCTGTGAGCCATGCGAGCCGGCTACGTGGCAGTCAAGGAGTTCTCCCCCTCGCGCCCTCGCCAACCCCACCCCAACGTCCCCCTCCTCCTTCTTTCGCCTCCCCCTCCGTGAACGGGCTCCCAGCCAACTTCACCTCGGGCTGCACGGGTGACTGCGGGTCGTACTCCTGGCGCATGGTGGGGGGGGTGCTGGACTCGGGCCTGGGCCACGGGGCCACGGTGCGAGTGTGGCTGGCGCTGAATGTGACTCTGGAGGTGGACGGGCAGGTCATGGCGAATTACACGTGGATATTCCCGAGGGCTCGCAGAAACAGCGTGCACTGAAGTTCTTTATTGATGGCATGGAGGTCGAGACAGTGCAGGTGCGTGTGAGCTAGGGGCATGGGGAGGGGGAGGAAGGGGAGGGGAGTTGATGGGAGGGAGTTGGGGGGGGGGAGGGATTGGGGAGGGAAAGGTGGCGGTGGCCGGGGGGAAGTTGTGGTTTTTTTAGTACCACGGACGCTGATGCATTCCTTGTTACGATTCCTTCTACCTCGGTGTCCCAAACATTTCCCTGTTATGTATGTCGGTTTGTATGTGTATGCATGTGCGTGCGTGTGTTCATGTGTGTGCATGTGCATGTGTGTGTGCGTCTGTGTGCATGTGTGCATGTGCGCTCCTATGTCCACATCCCTGTGTCCGCATGTGCGCCCCTATGTCCACATGTGCGTGCCTCTGTGCATGTGCGTGCCTCTGTGCATGTGCGTGCCTCTGTGCATGTGCGTGCCTCGGTGCATGTGTGTGCCTGTGTGCGTGTGTGTGGCTGTGTGTCTGTGTGCATGTGTGTGCCTGTGCGCATGTGTGTGCCTGTGTGTCTGTGCGCATGTGCGCGCCTGTGTGCACATACCCACAGATCCCGTTGAAGCCCACAGAGGTGCAGACGGTGATGTGGGACGTGGATGCAGGGCAGCACCAGTTCATGTGGATGTGGGAGAAGCTCAAGGCCACCATACATGCAGAAAGAGACACAGCCGTCATCCAAACCTTACAGTGCGTCGCCCTGCCCTCCCTTCCATCCCTTCCCTTCCTTTCCTCCCGTCCGTTCCTTCCCTTCCTTTCCTTCCCTTCCCTTCCTTTCCTTCCCTTCCTTTCCTTCCTTCCTTTCCTCCCTTCCTTTCTTTCCCTCCTTTCCTTCCTTTCCTTCCCTTCCTTTCCTTTTTCCTTCCTTTCCTTCCCTTCCTTTCCTTCCCTTCCTTTCCTTCCTTTCCTTTCCTTTCCTTCCTTTCCTTCCTTTCCCCTTCCTTCCCTTCCTTTCCTTCCTTTCCTTTCCTTTCCTTCCTTTCCTTTCCTTCCTTTCCTTTCCTTCCCTTCTTTCCTTTCCCTTCCTTTCCTTCCCTTCCCTTTCTTTTCCTCTTTCCTTTCCTTCCTTTTCCTTTCCCTTTCCTGTTTCCCTTCCCTTCCTTTCCTTCCCTTTCCTTTCCTTCCTTTTGTCCTTCCTTCCCTTCCTTTCCTTCCTTGTCTTTCCGTCTTTCCCTTCCTTTCCCTTCCTTCCTTTCCTTTCCTTTCCTTCCTCCCTTCCTTTCCTTCCTTTCCTTCCTTACCTTCCCCTTCCTTTCCTTCCCTTCCTTCCCTTCCCTTCCTTTCCTTCCCTTCCCTTCCCTTCTTTCCGTCCCCCTTCCTTTCCTTCCCTTCCTTCCTTCCCTTCCTTCCTTCCTTTCCTTCCTTCCCTCCTTTCCTTCCTTTTTCCTTCCCTTCCTTTCCTTCCTTTCCTTTCCTTCCCTTCCTTTCCTTTTTCTTTCCTTTCTTTCCTTCTTTCCTTCCCTTCCCTTCCCTCCCCTCCCCTCCCCTCCCCTCCCCTCTCCTCTCCTCCCCTCTCTTCCAACCGCGCCCAGCGCGTCCCCCAGCGCAGAGCAACCCCACGCTGCTCTTCCTGCCCCCATCCCCGGTCCCCCCCCCGTCCCCCTCGCACCTCCCTGCCAGGTAATTGGTGTGGCGCAGGGGGGCGCGTCGAGCTGTCAGGAGGTACCAGAGGGCGCACACCTGGCACCGTCAGGGCTGTGGTGGGAGCCATGCCCGCCCGGCACGTACGGCAAGGGCGGAACCAACAACTGCACCAAGTGCCCTGCCAACACCTTCAACGAGGCCTCTTATGTGCGTAAGGGTGGTGGCCGAGTGCTGGGATTTCTTCCTGGGGTGCTTGCTGTGTCCAGTGGGTCCTGGCTGCACACGACTAGTTGCAACCAAACCTGCTTTATCTCCCCTTTCTGTCTTCTTCCAAACTCTCTGCACCATCCTCTCTTGTTTCCCCTCTCTGCACTTATTACACCTGACTTTTGTCCCCTCTCTGCACTTATTACACCTGACTTTTGTCCCCTCTCTGCACACCTGATCCATCACATCTCACCCATCCCCTATGCTATGGTACCATGACAGGGCACGGAGGAGTCATGTGAGCCATGTGGTGAGGGCACGTCATCAGCAGAGGGCAGCAGCGAGTGCACCGTGGGCGACGTCTACATCCCCACCTCCTTCTGCCACTACACACCGCCTCCCACCGCATTCAACTCCTCGCGCCTCACGGTCTTTGACCTCTCTCCTCTCGCGCGCCTGCACCCGGACCAAATGTTTGGGCCGATATACGACGATCCCACAGCTCCGGATAGGGAGCAGCGGTCGCTGTACTATGTGAGCGTGTGCACGCGGGACAATACCAATGCCACCTGCTACGCCCCCCGAGGAGGCTCCCTCAACACATATGCCTGCCGAGTAAGTGTGGCAAATGGAGGAAACAGAAGGTGGGGTGGGGTTGTGAGGCATGTCATTCGCAGACATGGAAGGTGGGGTGGCGTGGGGTTTTGACTTGTGATGGTCTGCCTGCTGGGGCGGGACAAGTTCCTCTCCTGCAAGCAACCCTCTTTCCAACTCTCTCGTCTTCCACGAGCCACCTCCCCCCACTCTCCCTCCCCAATTTCCCGCCTCCCCTCTTCCTCCTTCCAGAAATCCCCCCCTCCCCCCACCCTCTTCCCTCCCCTCCCCACCCACCCAACCCCTCCATCCCTCTCCAATGCATCCCCGCCCCTCCCCATTGTCATTGATCTCCTCCTCCCCCTCCTCCCCTTCCGCACCCTCGTCCAGGTCAACCCCAGGTCACCGCTGGAGGGTCCGCGGCGCAGGGCAGTGAGTCTGGGCGACAGCATATCGCTGCACCCGCTGGGGGCGCACCCGGCGCTGGAGCGCAGGGGCTTTGTGATGTCCCTGGAGGGGTCGCTGTGCGCGGGCAACAGCATGCTGCGCGCCACCAACATCTCCTTCATCTGCGACCCTGACGCTGGTGCGTGCTGTGATGGAGTGGGGGTGCCCTGCTGGGGGTGCCGTGCTGCTGGGCGGCATGCCACTAGAGCACACGTCTCTGTGACAGTGGGAGGGACCGATTGTACTGTTCCGTTGTTAGGCAAGCATTCTGGAGCAGGAAATATAACAAGGCAAACACCTGGAATTCGTTTGCCACTTCCCCTCTCCCCACCTCACCCCTCCTCTGTCAACTCCTTCCCCCACTCCCTTTACCCTCTCCTCTCCACGCTCTCTCCTCCCCTCCCCCTATCCCACCAGGCTACGGTGCCCCGGAGGCATGGACGGACAAGGGCAAGGCAGCAGCAGTGGATCCAAACCTCTCCTTCCCCAGCTGGGTGGTGCGCGGGGGCACAGTGCTCCCCATCGGCGACGAGAATGCATGCAGCATGGAGATGGTGTGGTACACGGCGCACGCGTGCCCCATGTGCACCATGGATGACTATGAGCTCGTGGAGGTGTCGGGCTGTGTGGACAACAAGTACGCCACCTACAAGTACAAGCTGCCCAAGGTGCGTTCGGGAGGGAGATGGGGTGGGTTGGGAGGGAGGTGGGGTGGGGTGGGATAGGGTGGGCGGTGGATTCGGTTGGACACTGTAGTGAAGTTGTCTCTGATGAGCTCGTGGAGATGTCGGGCTGTGTGGATAACAAGTAAGCTACGTACAAGTACAAGCTGCCCAAGGTGCGTGCGTGCGTCATCATTCCGCTCACGAACCTGATGGGGACGAACCTGATGGGGACGAACCTGATGGGGACGAACCTGATGGGGACGAACCTGATGGGGACGAACCTGATGGGGACGAACCTGATGGGGACGAACCTGATGGGGACGAACCTGATGGGGACGAACCTGATGGGGACGAACCTGATGGGGACGAACCTGATGGGGACGAACCTGATGGGGACGAACCTGATGGGGACGAACCTGATGGGGACGAACCTGATGGGGACGAACCTGATGGGGACGAACCTGATGGGGACGAACCTGATGGGGACGAACCTGATGGGGACGAACCTGATGGGGACGAACCTGATGGGGACGAACCTGATGGGGACGAACCTGATGGGGACGAACCTGATGGGGAACCTGATGGGGAACCTGATGGGGAACCTGATGGGAACGCTCGCCTCACTTGGTTCGGTGGGTTTCACTCTGGTGTGTGTCTCCCTGATTTCACCTCCGCTCCGCTACCCCCTCCCCTCCATCCCCTCCCCACCCACCCCCCCAACCTGTGATCAATTTCCGCTCTGTGTTAAATCGACGTCTAGCTACCGTTTGGTCCAATCCTTCTTCCTAAACCCGAATCCCTTGACCCACGATTAACACGTTTCCGGCACTTTCCATCTCGCCTCTTCTACCTTTCCCTCCTCCCTCCTCTCCCCCTTCTCTCCCTCCATCCCGGCCCCTCCCTCCCTACTCTCCCCTCCCCTCACCCCCCCTGCCCACCACCCTGTACCACCACGCCCACCAGACATGCCAGGCGAACGCGCAGCTGCCACTGCCACAGGACATCCCATGCCAGCCGTGCACGGAGGCGGACTACGAGGCCATTCAGGACTCGTGCACGGACGCGCAGGGCCGCCACAACTCCTCGCACCGCTGGCGCCACCCCAAGCGCTGCAACGACGCACTCCCCGGCGCCGCCAAGCTGCCTGCTCCCGTCACCGCAGGCCCTTGCGAGCAGACCATTTTCGTTATCTCTGCTGACATGCTGAGCTGGCAGTACGTGTTTCTGATGGCGCTGGGTGGCGTGCTGATTGTGGTGCTGTCGGTGGTGTGGGTGGTGACGTGGATCAAGCAGAGGAGGATTTACAGCCTGTATCAGAAGATGGTGGAGCAGGAGCAGGGGGATGATGAGGACCCTGGGGACGAGGAGGGCAGGGGCGAGGCGGAAATGGCTAACCTGCACCGGCACAACAGTGGGAATTGATTACAAGATGGGGAGGTGACAGCGAGGTGGTAAGGTAAGAGTAGACAGCAATTTAAGGAATGAGAAGTGGCCTAGTGACTGCCTTTATGTTGCAGGGAGCAAGTGCATTCCAGTGCAGCAGTAACAGTTGACTTGTTTGGTAGGTTGGAGGTGCCATTTGGTATTGCAGTGCGGTTCCTGAGTTTTACAGGAGGGACCTCGTCTGATACCCGGTATTGACTTCAGACTCATGATACTCGTGCTATGCAGGGGAGGGTTTGTGCCATGCATTTATCATCTTCTACTGTATAAATCTGGCAGGAGAAAGGACTTTCAGTGTCTCAATAGGTAACCAGCAATATATAATCGTTGTGTGCAGAAGTCAGGCAAAATCAACCCGCAAGCATCCACTACGCCGCCGGCGCAATTAACGTGAGAGTTGCTGTTGTTGACCATGATGCACTGCTGCTGCTGCCGCCCTATCCCTTGCACCTCCCTCGGAACTCACTCCCAGCAACGCCCGCTGCACGCCCTGCCCCTGTCCCTCCCTATCCGCCCCAGCCTGCACAACCACCCCCAGCCCTTCATCCCCCTCGTCCTCCTCCTCCTCACGACGCCCCCTGCTCTCCGCTCCTCCCACCCCTCTCTGTTCCGTACCTGCCTCTGCCCCTCCTGTCTGCTGCATATCCTTGCTTGCTGCTGTGCCATCTGTGTCCCGTCCCTCTGCTTCCCTCTCGCCATTGTACCCCATCCTGTGCGCCGCATCCTCCTGCTCCCTCTGCATCTGCTGCTCGTAGAACAGTTGTGCAGGGTTTGCAACCTCCCTCCCACCTCCCTCACCTCCTCTCCCCACCCCCTCCTCCTCTCCCATGCCTCCGGCTACTCTCCCCCCAGAGCCCTCTTGCACTTGAACCTCCTCCCTTCTGCTCTCCCTGCTATCCCTCTGCTCCGCCCTGTTTGAAAGCAGACCCATCGCATAGGCCCTCTCCCTGTCACTCCCCCTCAGCTCCTCCTCTTGCACCCGCTCTGTCGCATCCCCTCCGCCTCTTTCCCCAGCAGCAGCACTACCAGCTCCATCCATGCCTACGTCTCTCCCCTCTGTTCCTGCTGTTCCCTCAGTTCCTCCTGCTCTTTCCCTGATTCCCTCCTGGTCCACCTGTTCTGTCCGGCCAGCAGCAGCCAATCCATCAGCATTCCCTGTCCCCTCTTCCATTCCTTCCTCCGCTCCCCTGGCTGGTTGATCCTCTCCTCTGCTGTCTCCTACTTCCCCACCTCTCTCTCCATCCACTCTTTCCCCCAAGCCTGTTCGCCCCTCCCCTTCTGCACCATACCCTGCTGCGACCTCACCTATTCCTCCCTCCCCCAATCCCCCATTCGCTGCTGCCCCCCCGTTTCCACCACCCTCCCCCAAACTATCCGCCCCTCCCTTAACTCCCCCTTCCGCCACCCCTCCACCTCCCACCTCATCCCCACTCACCTGCTGCTGTCTGCTGTACCCCTCTCTCTCGCTCTCCCCATCTCTCGCCTCATCTCTTCCTTCACCCTCTTCTCGCCCACGATTCATTCCCTGCAAGTCAGACCCACTACTGCTGCTAATACTACCACCGGTAGCTGTTAGATGAACAACAGCAGCGCCATCAGCTGCACCAGCACCCGAAGCATCATCATCATCATCATCATCCCCATCCGCATCAGCATCATCAGCAGCAGCAGCAGCACCTGTAGCCGCACTAGCACTGCCAGCACCACTGCTGCTGCTGCTACTACCAGCCCTTTCCCCACTAGTGTCAGTCGCAGCAGTACCAGAACTTAATGTGCCAGAACCAGCAGACTCGCCAACATCATCGCCACCACCAACACCACCACCAGCATTTATAGCATCAGCCTCGCGTGATTCCCCATGCAGCGCAGCCGTACCGCCCTCCTCCCCCCCAGCCATCCCCATCCCCTCCAGTAGCGAATCCAGCTCATGTTTTCCTTTTTCCCCCACCGCCCCTTCCCCCTCAACCTGTCCCCCCTGCCCCTGCTGCTGCCGGCGCCCCTTCACTGGCTCCCCTGCACGACCTGCCGCTGCGCCTTCCCCGTCCACTGATCTTGCCCCTGCCGTTTTCCCGAATGCTTGGTCCTCATCCTCTGCTGCCTCTATTGCCTCTCCTGCCCCACGGCCTCCTCTCCCCGCCTTGCTCCCCTTCCCTTGTTTCAAGTCCGCAGAACCGTGCTGCATCCTCTCATCCCCACTCTCTCCCTCCCCCTCATCCTCCTCCTCCCCTTCGTCCTCCCCCTCTTCTCCCTTCCCCTGCCTCCACCCTTTCCCTTTTACCTTCTCCTGTTCCACTTCCTCCGCCTCATCCGCCTCTATCTTGCTCGCCAGTCGAGCGGATCCCTTCCCCCTCCGCGCCTGATGCTCACTCTTCCCCACCTCCCCGCCACGGACCCCCCTCCCTCTGGCTTTCCGCTTCCTCGCCTTCTCCTCGAGCACCTTCAGGATCGCATCCAGACCGTCCACGTCAGCATCTGAGTCAGAACGTTCTTTCCCTTCTTCCTCCTCCTCTGCTCCTCTCCTTGCACTGCTTCGTGAACCCTTTCCTTCCTTATCTCTCCCTCTCTTCCCCTCCTTCGGCGTTTTCCTTCCCTTCACATCCCCCTCTTCCTCTCCCCCCCCCCTCTTCATCTTCCCCCTCCCCATGCACCACAGCGCGGGCCTTACCACGCTTCCCCCCATGAACCTCCCCCTCCTCCGCTTCCTCCTCCTCCGCCTCTTCCCCGTCCTCCTCCCCCTCCCCCTCATCATCCACATACCGCCTGCTTACCTTCCGCCGAATGTCCACATCATATTCCCCCCTCCCCACGCCGCGCCTGCCTCGTCTCCCCTTCCCCTTCCCCCTCCGCCTCCCCACCTCGCTACTATAACCCCTCCCCTTCCGTACACCGGCACCACCACGGGCGCTGCTGACCTCGTTACTATCACGCCCGACAACACTGACAGCATCATCCTCGTTAATGTCACCTTTCGCCCTTCCCCTCTCTCCCCCCGCATGCGCCTCCCCCGCATCCCCTTCCGCGGCTTCCGCCTCGTTCGTGACCTCTTCTCCGCCCCCTCCACGCCTCACCTTATTTTCCTCTTCCTCTTCCTTCTCCTCCTCCTCCTCCTCCTCCTCCTCCTCCTTCTCATCATCATCATCATCATCAGCCCCGCTTCTCGCGGTTTTACCACCACTGGCCCTTCCGCTTCCGCTTCCCCGCTTCCACTCCCCGCCTGATGCCCGCGCGGATGCGCTCCCCCGATTACCCCCACTTCCGCGGTGTTCCCCCAAATGCATCCCCTTTTCCACCTCATCTAGCTCTTCCGCCTCTTCCGCCTCCTCCGCCACTCTCTCCGCATCCGCGCGGACCCCCTCCCCGCGCTGCTGCCAACCACCGCGTTTTCCGCCCGTCCGATCGAATGTCCGCTTACCTAACCCATCGTAACCGTCATCAAAACCGGCCCGCCGCTGCTGCTTCCCCATTCCCGCAATCTTCCCCATCTTTCCCCCTTGGATCTGGTTCCGTCGCTGCGAGCGCTCCTTCCGCGCGCTCCCCAACTCCCCGACAATACCGCCCCCCGACGCCCACACGCTCTCGTCCGGAGATAAATCCACGCCCACTACGGCGGAGCGCAGCCGCGACGCGATGCCCCCTGCGCCAACCGCTGCTCCGCGCAAGAGCTGCGCCTGCCGCGCTAGGCGGTGGCCGGCGCGGGGGTGCTGGTGCATGCGCAAGTTCGACGGCAGTCGCGGATGCGCGTACGCAAGCAGCAGCGTGAGGAGAATAACGGCCGATGCGACCAGCATGCACGTGCAGCATAGTAACGAGCAGATCGAGCACCGAGGAGACGACGATCCGCCGCCGATGCCGCCGCTACCTGCGCTGCCCCTGCGCCCCACGGGAGGGCCCCCCGATGGGCCCCCGCCGCGGGAGAAGATGCCGCCGACGCTCCCCCCGCTGCTGCCGCCGCCGCTGATGGCGCCGCTGGCGGCCGCCGAGGCGGCTCGGAGCGTGCTTCGGTCCGGCAGCGTCCATTCGAAGCCCTCGAAGCCGTCGGGGCGCGCTCCGAGGCGCCTCTCTCGCGTTGGTCCCGCGCGCATTGAACTCGTGGAGGAATGGAGGAATAGAGGAGTGGAGGAGTGAAGGAGTGACGGAATGAAGGAATGAAGAAGGATTTATCCAGCGATACGCTGACGAGTACGCGCAATAGATACGCACTGATTCATCCGCGCCGCATCCTCGTGGATCAAGGATCAAGACGCGCAGACAGCCGTCCTTGGAGCAGGCTGGAGTGATATGGGAGATAGCGCGGCGAGGTGATGCGCGTCGGGTTGGGACCTGGGAGTTGGGATGTAAAGACTGGGCGATGGTTGGTTGGTTGGTTGGGATAGTGGTGGTGGTGGTGGTGGCTTGCTGGGGTGGTTGTTGGTGGATAGGTTGGGGCGCAGACCCCCGAGGGCGCGCAGTGGATCGCGCTCGATGGCGCAACGACTGTGAGTGCGGGGAAGAGCGCGCAACAATCGCTGTGACAGGGGGGGGTTTGGAGAGGCTGGGCGGAAGTGAAGGGGGGAGGCAAGCATCTTCTGGTGCAGGGCTGCAGTTCGAAATCTTGTTTACTGGTTGTTTTGTTTTGGGTGCTATCTTCTAAGCGATATGTTTGCAAATAGTGTAGCTCGTAACATTGCGTTGAGTGTAATGTCGCGGAACCAACCCTGGCTTTCGCGCGTAGTCAAATGGGCCCAAGTCGCTCTCACTTCAACTGACAAATCGGGACCATCCGATTCGACGATCATTCACGAGACTCGCATACCAGATTCGTCGCCTAAACAAAGCAGTTCTGCTGAAATCTGTCAGAATTTTTACTTGGCTGTCCTCGAATCCCAGCCCGTAGCGTGTCACCCGCTTGGTCTGCCCGCGAGTGGTCTCCGATCCGCCGCGTGCCCGTCGCAGCGACCGTCCTGGCCAGCGACAAACCTGTAGGTCGTCGCGAAGAGAAACAGCGTAGGATACTTGTGAATCAGGCCTCGCTTGGTCAAGCCGCCGGCACGCGTACGCTTAAAGCCACGTGATCAGAGGCACGTGCGGTGAGAGCAGCGCAGCAGGCGGCGGGGATGGAGGAGCAGGGCGTGGTGGTGCGGCGCGTGATGGACGCCGACAACAGCTGCCTCTTCAACGCCGTCGGGTGAGCAGCGCACGCCGCGCGCCATCGCATCCGCGCAGACCGGCGCGCGTCGTCTCGCACTGACGTTCCGTCCCTCCGTCTCTACGTATCTATGTCTCTGCATTCTGCGGTGCAGTTGGCTTATCTGTCTACTCATCTCCGTCACCACCTCTGTACCTTGTTCTGTTGGTTCTCGTCATCCACTATCGCATCATCCACTATCGCATCATCCACTATCGCATCATCCACTATCGCATCATCCATCATCCTCTAACGCATCTCTGGCACCTGTGTGGGGTGCTGGGCCGCACGCGGCAGGTATGTGACGGAGCGCAGTCGAGACAAGGGGGCGCAGCTGCGGCAGGTATGGCGTGGCCCCCCCGCTCCTTGTGTGGTGACGGGGGGAAGGGAAGAGGGGAAGAAAGAAAGAGGGAAATATGGGAAGAAGCGAAGTGAGGAAGCGGGAGAAGTGGGAAACGGGGAAAAGGGGAAGCGGGGAAGAGGACAAGGGGAGAGGAGTAGAGGGGGTTTACTTGTCCAGCAGGTTCGCCTCATGTGCCATCGCGCATGCCCGTGCACTGCACGTGATGATACACACGTGCATGGCACCTGCTGCCCACCACTGGGTTGTGCCGCTGCTGCATGTTCATATGTGCTTCTCCATCTGCCGGGCTGCATGTGCTGGGCTGCATGTGCGGGGCTGCAGCACATGCATGTGCATGTACATATACACGCACGTGCCAATCAATCCTCCTCCGCGCGCTGGTCTCGTCCCCTCCCCTCAGGTGATAGCGCGCGTGGTGGCGGGGGACGAGCAGCGCTTCACAGAGGCCGTGCTGGACAAGCCCAATGCTGCCTACTGCCAGTGGATCACCCGCGCTGACTCCTGGGGCGGTGCGTGCCTCCATGGGTTTGAAAGGAGTTGAAAAGAGGTGGGGAGGAGTTGAAAGAGATTTGCAAGGGCTTGCAAGCCCAACGTCGCCTACTGCCAGTGGATCACCCGCGCTGACTCCTGGGGCGGTGCGTGCCGCTGCTGCTGCGTTGCAGGCAGGGGGGATGGCAGGGGTCGGATTGGGATGTGGAGTCGAGGAAAGGGGGGGGTATATGGGGGAAAGAGTTGTTAGAGTTGTGCAACTTTCCTTGCCGCCGTGTCTTTGTCTGTTGCTGCCATTATCCGGACAGCTTGTTCAACATGTTCTGTTTCGGCCTTGTCCCCATCCATCATGTGCATGTGTGCCTGGCATGGCATGTGTGCCTGGCGTGGCAACATCAGGTGGCATCGAGCTGGCTATCTTGTCGGATCATTTTTCCAAGAAGATTGCCGCTTTTGACATCCAAACAAAGCGATGCGACGTGTACGGGCAGGTCAGTGGGTGAGCGCCACTCACCACAGCGGCTTGTCTCTCCTCGGGAAATACCTTTTTAGGCGCCTGCTGAGTCATATGTTCCTGCTTCTTGCTTCATCCATTCCTAGGTTCTCGGCTGGTTACAACCTTCATCATCCCTTTTATGTATTTTACCTTCCCCCTGCTCCACGCCTCACACGGCCCTCAACGCCCTCTGTGTGACTGCAACGGCCGACCTGCTGTGTGGCGCCAGGACAAGCCGTACAGCGAGACCATCATGCTCATATACGACGGCATTCACTACGATGCCCTTGCGGTATGGTGCTGTGCTATGGTGCTGTGCTATGCTGCTGTGCTATGGTGCTGTGCTATGGTGCTGTGCTATGCTGCTGTGCTATGGTGCTGTGCTATGGTGCTGTGCTATGGTGCTGTGCTATGGTGCTGTGCTGCTGTATGCTGCGATGCTGTGATCCTCATGCTGTGCTCATAGCGTCCACTCACACACACACTACCGCTCCACTGGCATGCATCTCCCCAGCCGTTGCTTCCATCCCCCAGAAACAGCTTTTTACTCCTCCCTTTCCGCATCCATCTTCCTCTCGTACCATTCATCCACCCCCCACCCACCCCTTTCCCCTGGCAGCTCTCGCCATGTGAGGGGGCACCGGAGGACTTTGACCAGACCATCTTCCCGGCCACTGCAGCGCATCCCCTCCCCCCCGCTGTGCGCCGCAGTGCAGAGGCCCTTGTGGACGCCGCCCACAGGTACGCCACGCCTGGGCTGGGCTGGGGAGGAGGCTAAGCATCGTTGTTGGGAAAGCTCCTACTTCTAGGGATGGCTGTCACTCAGCATCCGTCTCACTGACCATGTATGGGTCTGTTTGTTTGTACATGTGTGCAGGGCTAAGAGCTTCACAGACACGGCGCGCTTTGCACTTCGCTGTGTGGTGTGCCAGCAGGGGCTGGTGGGACAGAAGGTGAGGGAGGTTATGGCTGATTGATCTCTTCCCAGTTGTGCGCAGCACATAGTTCCGCAAGGTTCTGGCCAACCGTTAGTGTGGGTGCATCTGACATGTCACATCATGTCACATGCATCATACAGTCATCAAGTAACCAATCATCCATGCGCTCATTATTCACTTCGCTATGCGTTATGTACTGGAGTTTGACCATTCTGTGACGCCCTTCCCGATGTTATCCCATGCAGGAAGCCGTGCAACATGCACAAGCAACGGGCCATGCCAACTTTCAAGAATACGCTTGAAATCATGCTTGCTCGTACCTTATTCTTTTCTTGTGGGTCTGCCTTCACATTGTGACACACCAAATCCTATCGAGAGCATATTTTGCAGCCACAATCTAGCTTGGCCGTAATGAGGCATTGCAAATGCAGTGTTTAACAAGAATGGCACCCATGGAATACACTTACAGCGCACATAACAAGCCATAATGCTAATTAAACCTACCTAGGAAGTGGAGCTGCACCCAACCTCTGTGGTATTGCACTACATACATAACACCTGAAGTGAATCTCACCTGAACCTACAACTAAAATCCCCAGGCATCCGATGCACATCCAACACTCCTACGACTGAGATGCCAAAGCCGGAGGAGAATTGGGTAATGACCAGCATCATTAGGTTTTGAGGAACGAGGGGAACCACTTTTTGGATTTGGAACGGCTGGTTTGCTGTTGCAACTGCTGATCGTCGGACCCTGAGAGAGACGGCCCCGGCCGGCCGTTCATATTCGGGGACGAAGCAGAGGGGTTGCGTGGGTCGGCAACAGGGCCTACTCCCATGTTGGCCGCAGTGAACATCTCCATAGTGGCAAAGCGCATGGATAATAGCTCATCCACTTCTTCCTTCTCCTTGTTGTACTGTGTTATTACTTCCACGTATTTCGCCACAGCCTGCAGAGGCGAAGCGAAGTGGGAGTATGGTAAACACGCACACGCATGCGTGAGAAAGGCGATGTGGAAGTGAGGGTGGGAGAAAGATGGTTTGCATGCGAAGGGAGGGAAGTGAGTCAAAGCCGAGCACGATAACTGCAGAGGTGAATACTCACACCTCCCTTCTTCCTCTCCTAGTTCTCTCCCTTTCCCAACTCAACTTTACATCCATCCACCTCCCTTTGAACCCCAACACATCACAACCCCAACCCATCGTTCTGCCTTCCCTCCCCAATCCTCTCCCTCCACAAAGCCCTCCCCTCCTCCCCCGCCCCCACACCCCGCCATGGCACTGACATCGCGGAACTCCTTTTCGAACTTGCGCACGCGCTCCTTCTTGCCCACCAGCTCCGCCTCCACACGCCGCAGCTCCGCCACTGCAGGCGAGTCCGCCTGCACTGGCACCGCCTCTATCGTGTATGATGTGCCCTTGAGGAAGTTGTCACCTGCATGTGCGGGCAGGGTGGGGGAAAAGGAGCGAAAAAGAAGAGGCAGGGGAGGTTGGGTGCGGGGGGTGGGGAAGGTGGGGAGGGCAAGAGGTGTGGAAAAAGCATGATGAGTATTGGGGGAGTTGTACCTCCCTAACCATAACTCTAGTGGCATATGTGGTTTCTATAGAACATCAATCTCGCATGCGAGTTAGTTCCTGTACATGTGAGAGAGGGAAGGGAGGAGGTATGATGGAGAAGAAGGGATTGAAGAGGGAGGAGGCATGAGGAGTTGGAAGAGGGAGGCACAGGTGGTGACAGACAAATCTGACGTAGAGAGCAGAGGTGTGCTACACCATGTTGGCAAGGCAAGGCACGCACCGTAGACGGCAAAGACGTGTGTGCCGTCCTTGAGCTCGTTCACCTCGCACTTGGACAGCCCGTCCAGGCGATAGAATAGAGACGTCTCAGGATCTCGCGCCATCTCCAGCTGCAGGGACAAGCGACGGGCATGGTGAGAGCAGAGATGAAGGGAGGGGTATTGTGGGAACAGGGGTGTCGGAGGAAATGGGGGCAAGAGGGAGGGAAGGGGTCGAGGGAAGGAGTGTGAGAGTGGAACGAACGGGAGGGGGGGGAGTATGGGAAAGCAAGGGTGGCAGATGGATAAAGAGAGAGAGCCTGGCCTATGAGTCTAAGTCCATGTAATTTACACGCTCAACCGTGCACGCATGAAACGAATGGCATGGTCTAATCTGTGGAGCGTGGAAAGGCGAGAGGGGAGGCGGGCGTACAGCACTGGCAGTGGGGTCGTAGCGGTAGCACTGGAAGCCGAGGAAGAAGAGGCATGCTTGTGATGACTTGCCGTACTTGATGCTGCTCTCCTGCACGCATGCCCAGCATGGGGTGGTGATCAAAGTGAGGGCACGGGAGGGGGCGGGGGCAGTTGTTCAATGTAAAATGAGGCAGAATGCAGAGGGGTTTGGTTGTGCATGTGCATTTGTGAAAGAATGGATGGAATATAGTGAGTACGGGGGGAAAGAAAAGGGTATGATTTAGCAATTGCCATATAACGAAGTCTTACCTGCATGGATAGGTCCAGCCCTCCTGTCTCTGATCGCCAGTCGAAGTATAGCAGCTGAGGAAAGCAAACAGATGCATGGATGCAATGAGGAGATGATGTTGATGGTGGTACAGAGGAGGGGGTCATGCGATGAGAAGCATGATGTGCAGCAAGATCGTAATGTGGGAGGAGATTCTGGTCCTCTCTATCAGCATTAAAGACAGCACAGCGAGAACAATCACATAACACCATGACATGGCATGCGCAGGCACATAAACGGCATACCATGGCATCTCACGTGCACACCACCATAGTGCAGCACTGCGCTCAATCTGACCTTGAATTTGCCTGATGAGGACGACGTGGCTCTGACAACAAGGCCACTCTTGGCCTGCTCTTCCGTCAGCGTCACACTGTAGAAATGCGCCTTCTGCTTCTCCACCTGCACTCCACATCACGAGGGGGAGACAAGGAAAGTTCCAGGGAGTATGGGGCCCGAAGGTGGGAGAGGGGAGCGGAGAGGGGAGCGGAGGCGTGAGGAGAGTCATGAAATGAGAGGAGAGAACGAGAGAAGAAAATTAATGGAGACAGGGGAGTAGGAGAGTGGTAGATGGAAGTACGAAGAGACTAGAAATGGAGAACAATAAACCAAGCTGTGAGGTAGCAGCCGCTCACCCTGTCACTGATTGATCCGCCCAGGGGCAGCGTGCGTGGAGTGACAGTCCCGCTTAACGCCTCCTCCAGCACGACCTGCGACACTGACGTCTTTATTGGCACGCCTAACTTGCTGCGAGCACGGGCGGGAGGGGAGGACGGAGTGATGTAACTGAGAACGACAGCTCAATCATGAAAGCGGGATGGGGAAATAGGGAAAGGGGTGAGAGGAGGGTGACGAAAGGAGAAGAATTCTGGAAGAGGGAGGTCTTGCATCGAGATTCAACCTGAATGAAACTTCCATATTCTGTGATACAGAACCTCAACCTACAAAACCTAAATCGGGGACTGCAATGTGAGCTGTTATCGTGTACCTGAAGAGCGCGACCATGGCGGTGTTGAATGTGCTTAGTCCCGACAGGTCAAGCGAGTCGTCCATGTCCTCCATGTTCACCGCCTGGCACCGACAGACGCACACAGCAGTCGCACGGACGACACCATGCGACGGAAAATTGAGTGCGACGGACAGAAGACGCGCATGACACCGAGATACGCACAAGCGCACAGAATTAGGCAGTGGGTGGGAGTGGCCGACGAAGAATGCATAGAATGAGCGTGGTCATGTGACAGCCATGCGTTAAAGAAGAACGCGTGGCGGGAAAGCAGGGGCAACGAAATTCGATACACACATGAACCACAGGGATGCTTCGATATGACCCGATCCAGCATGCATGACAGTAACTCGTTCTATCAAACAGACTGAACCAATTGTGCGTACGTCGAAGCCTCTGATCGTGTACTGGTGCCGCTTGTCAGGGTCAGACAGAATGCTGTAGGCGAAAGCGACCTCTTTGAACTTGTCTGTCGCTTCCGGATCATTGGCGTTCTTGTCAGGATGGAACCTGCGTCGTGAGCAACAATCGCGAGTGAAGAGCACGAGCAGGATTCTTAACTTGGGACCTTTCGACCAGATTTCGGCTTCGACTGTTAGAAAGCCATCGAAAAGGAAAAACTGACTTGGGGATTTGAATGCAAGCAGGCTATTCGTGACAAAGGAAGTCACAGCGTCTAATCTCTTCTGACGGCGTGGAGATATGCTACTAGAGGCTTGAAGAACCCTCTTCTGAGCGAATCTGAATGTACCTGAGAGCGAGCTTCTTATACGCGCTCTTGATCTCGTCGTCCGTCGCCTCTCGTGCTACCCCCAGCACTTCATACAGATCGCGACGCGTTGGCGCCTGTGGCTCCTCGCTTTCTGCCGTGCTAGCCATGATTCCTGCAGGCTCCCTTTACTCTATTGCTGCTCTTAACAGCGTAATTGGCGAACTTTTTTCACCAGAAAAAGGGAAGAACCCGAACAGGACGAGACGTGGGGGCGTCACGGATCGACCTTAAGAGTATTTAGCTAAGTCATACGCCTCCTAATAAGTACATGTGTTGCTGGATACTTCAGTGACGGGATCACCTTCGCAAGGGTGCACTGACGACACTGCTGAACTTCAGCACAGCCAAGAAAGGTTCTGCTACCTGGAGTTCATCTTCATCCCCGAGGCTCCAATCAAGCTGTGTCTCTCGTGGATGCCTGCCTGAACCGAACCATAGCTTTGGCTGGAACCCGCTGCACAGGTTTGGCGGGAAAACTCGTGGCTCATTCGGAAGGCTACAGTTATTCCGAAGCTACCTGCTCCCCAATGGTGATGAATGAGTTTGCCCGGCCATTTTCAGGTGCATGCAACTTAGTCGAGGCGCGCTATTCAGGTGCATGCTATCCCGTCGTTTTTCTCCCTCTGTTACCACTGTTTGTACACATCCGCCACTAAAAATACTGTTCCGTCAGGGGAACACAAGCAGCACACGCAACACACGCAACACACAAAATGGGCCTGCCAGGGAAGCCCGAAAATAAAAAAATACAACTCATAGAAAGCCTGGACATTGTTCGGGAGGGATCAACCCTAAACACGGGAACCTTCATGGTGTTTAGGGTTGTTGTCACGTAAGGCAGTGGGAAAAAAAAACCTAGGGAACCTGGACTAATTTTCCGGAAGAGATCAACCCTAAACACGGAACTGCCCTCGTGTTTAGGGTTGATTCCTCCCGAGTTGCATGCGTTTCCAATTGGGCTCTATATTTTTCTTGCCCGTTTTTTGTCAGGTGTATTGCGATATGTGCTGACCTCGTTCGCAGTAAGGCTGCGACTGGTGTGGTTGGACGACGAGTTCGTGCGAGAGCTGCGCCAGTTGGTGTCAGTCGGATTGTAGCATCCCCTGATGGAACAGTAATTTTCGTGGCGGAGGTGTACATACAGTAACAACAGAGGGAGAAAAATGACGGGATAGCATGCACCTGAATAACGCGCCTCGACTAAGTTGAATGCACCTGAAAATGGCCGGAGTTTGCCTGACAAACCTCCCAGATCTCCTCGGTTTCATCGTGTAGATGCCTCTCGCTGGGAATGACTGGCTGTACATCGGACGGATGGCATTGACGGAAAGGTTTGTGGAACATTCGTGCGACGCGCCGAGTTCACAACTGTCTTAGTGGGTTCATTCTGGTGCGTGTAGGTAGAAAGCGGTTCAAATAAATACCGTGCTTCATAACGAATTACGCCGCGCTTATTGAACCGTGAACGAACAAACTATGCATGGTCCGCCCATGCATTGGTAGTGTATGACATCCGCCACAAAGCGGCTTTTGTTCAGATGTTTTAGCGCGTACACAAGAGGTGCCCAAGCGCCACATTTCTTTCCTGCTTGCTCGTCCGATATTTTCCGCAGTACGGTAGTTGATTCCTTCAATAATCGACGGCGAAATAAGCGAGCCCGATCTGAGAACTAGGTTATTCATGGCTATCGTCCTTTACGCGAATCCAATTTCACAGCCCAGTCGGGCTGTCATGATCTTCTTCCGGTATGTCCGTTACCCCGATCCACCCGAGCCGCCCACTACCGTTGATGATTGCTTTGTTGTCGTCACTGTCCTCGCTCTGCCATGTGGTTACAGATTAAATAGCATCGAGCACGAAACAAGAGTGCTTAACCTGATAAAGGGAGAGCACAGAGCAGCCTCGTACAAAGGTAGTCTAAGTCGAGTCAAAATTAGCTCGTTTTTGCTTCGTTTGAGGAGTTCAGTGTGAAGGTACGTTGTCAGGTCCCGCTGTCGTTGCAGGGAATTAGATTATGAAAGTCCCGTGTTTTTCCGTGTAAAATGCAGAGGTCAACCCATTTGGACTTATTCCTGCAATTACAGACGATGGATTCAATCTTTATGAGAGGTGACTTCGGATTTCTGCACCCTTCATCCACATCTCGTTTTACAGCAAAAGCGCATTTGCTCACTTTCTTGTGACGTGCGTGCATCAAGTTTCAAATGGCATGAAATCATCGTGCCTCCTTCATGCATACGTCGTTATATGCACCTCATGCATACAGCCATGCCATAATGAAGTACGTAGCAGCAACTCGTACTTGCAACGAAGCTTGGTATCCACATGATGTGCAGAAGAGGGCACGAGTTGACGCTCTCTTGGACTGGCACCACAACAACACTCGCAGACACACTGGTAACAGCCATTTTCCTTGGTCTTACGCATCACTCTTCTAGAAGTTGTATTGCTCTCTTGACGTGTACATTTTGTTGTCTTGCAGTTGGCATTGTGTGGAATGAAGTGATATGCAGCATGTTTGGGCTCCCATCGGATATGCATATTGCAGCCCTATCTCGCCATGAGCTGCAATCATCTCTCTGTGCCATGGAGCGAGTGATGCTGGCACAAGCAGACCCTTCCAAGCCTGGTTCACCTCAGTTCCTTGACGCCAACATCCATCCCTCTATTGCTGATCTCAGCATCGCATGCGAGCTGATGCAGCTCGAGGTGAGCTTGCATGACCTTTTGCAAAAACGCTACTCATCTTCTCGTTTAGCATGAAAACGTCTGCTGAGCACTCTAACCAGAAGCATTCTATGTGAAACCCATTCCCATACCAGTTATTGGGTGCTGCAGGCAAGGAAGCTGTTATAGGAAACCACAAGAAGGTGCAGGCATGGTTGGAGGCAGTGAGGTTAACATGCAACCCAGTTTTTGATCAAGTGCATCAGGCTCTGTACAGACTAGCCTCACGGGCTGAGAAAGCTAAGAAGCAAGGTACAGATCAGGCCACTCCTCAAGGAGTTCCTAATTCTGTTGGATTCAGGCGCACTAGCGAGAAGATACGTTCATCTTTGTGAATTACATCCTTTCAGTCTTGTACATCAACACGGGTTGGTCAACAATGGTTGACTTGTGATTTACAAGTTAATAAGATACACTTGTCTGTCAGAATCCCAGCCACTAACCACTGGGATAAAAGGGCTTGTTTGTGTAGCGGGTGAGTGCGCCCATAACCCCCCAGGCCAACGTGCCTGTAACCCTTCCCTAGGATCAATCGGGGATCACCAGTGGACCTCTGACATTGTCTGCAATTTGTGGCATTTGCACATGTGCATAGTGGAATTTAGCTGGCAATTGCCATGCAAAGAGGCAATCCTTGGTAGGATGCATCGATACTCGTAAGATAAGGTCTTTGCATTCGCATATTTCAGGTCAGTGATCCGCAGAAAAAAAAACAAGAGGCGACCAAGTCGACATAGGGTTGCGAAGCTTATTTGTAAATAATATATTTTGTTCTACTACGTACTTTCCTAGATTTCTTAGACATGACACATATCCAATATTGTGTTGACATGAAAAGGTAGCAGCAAGAATCGAACCGGAGTCCAACGGCTTCTGATTCGAAATCCATACCACTGTGCTTCCACAACTGACTTCGAGGGGTAAAAATTAAAAACACACATCTGTTGAAAATGTTGCATTGATACAGAAGGCCGCGGCAAGAACCGAACCCGAGACCATTAGATTAAAACAAGATACTCAAACCACTGCGCTAACAGAACTACCTACGAATTTCGAGAATTATTATAAGATAGTTGAATTGAAGCCGAAAATTGAATTCCTTTCCCAACATTTCGTCTCTTTCTGGATCGTCAATGCCCTAGTTTCCTCCCGCGTCTCCCTCAACTCCCGCTCCTCCTACGACTGCAGCAGTCATATACTTACTAGGTAAGAATTTAAGGACTAGCGTACGTACTAACGTCTGCTAGTTCTTTTTAGACTTCAAGAAAATATTAGGAGCAGTTTCGTTCATGTTCTTTTCTCTAATTTGAACCAGTAAGTTCTAAGTTATCTAGAAACTTAATCGTTTTTAAGGATATCGTCCATTTCGACGGAACCGTTAGGTCGTTCTTAAATAATGTGTCTTCTCCCGTAAGTCCAACTGTGCTGCTCACGCTCTTAACTCCTAGAACTATCCTCTCATTTCTCTATCATGTCGTTTTCCTCCTTCCTTTTTATTCTTATCAGCTTAGACGCTCTTCTTTCGGTTTTTCTAGTATCTGTGCCCCATCTTCTCGTAGTTATGTGTGTGTGTGTGTGTTTTTTTCTGTCATACTTACAGGCTCTTTCTGTCTCATTTCTTGCAATGTTTCTTCTCCTCGCATCTCGCGTATAGTCCTCGTATTGCATGTTATCTTCCTTCCGTATTGGTTCCACTCCTACACTGTCAGAGGTCCACTGGAGATCCCCGATGATCCTAGGGAAGGGTTACAGGCACGTCGGCCTGGGGGGTTATGGGCGCACTCACCCGCTATATTAACAAGCCCTTTTATCCCAGTGGTTAGTGACTGGGATTCTGACATGGTATCAGAGCGAAGGTCTCGGGTTCGATTCCCGGTGTGTGCACTTCGGGCATCCCAGTGCGGGGGGGTGTCAGAGGTCCACTGGAGATCCCCGATGATCCTAGGGAAGGGTTACAGGCACGTCGGCCTGGGGGGTTATGGGCGCACTCACCCGCTATATTAACAAGCCCTTTTATCCCAGTGGTTAGTGACTGGGATTCTGACACTCCTACCTTCGTGCGGTTTTTGAATATGTCTTTCATAAGTCTACGAATGTTTTTTTAGAAGCCATAGTTTATTGAAGTCTCTCTCTCTCTCTTTCTCTCTCTCTCTCTCTCTCTCTCTCTCTCTCTCTCTCTCTCTCTCTCTCTCTCTCTCTCTCTCTCTGTCAAACTCTTTCGCTCGTTTATGTATCTATCAAAACGCTACTATATACGAGCTCATTTATGTTTTCTTCTTTCCTTGCCCAGATTATTGCGTTTCCTCTATGCGGTTATTATCACATCTGGTATTTTTATTCGTTATTCTCCTTTGTACTTCTCTTCCCCACCTGCCTACGTTTCAAATCCTGTAATTCCGTCGTATCGTAGTTCTCTAATGTGTCTCTGCCTCCGTCCTTTTTTCTGCCCCTTCTGCCCCGTTCCTTTCCCTTCCCACTACGTTTCCCCCCGTTTCCCTCCCAGGGTCTTCGCTATAACGTTCGGAGGCTAATGTGGAAATTAAAAGGATTTTGTTTGATTTTTGTTTGAAATGTTAATGATTGATGCTACTGCATTGTTATGTTAGATTTCTTTTAGGTTCATTTTCTGATTGTGACTCGTCTTTGTGTGTGCATATCGGTATGTGCGTGTGTGCGTATGTGTCTCTGTGTGCATATTCATACATATCCACCTGCTATTGCATTAACAATGCGTATCTGTGGATTTTAAAAAAATGGTCAAGCTATCATTTCCGAGAAGGTTCTTTGCCCACTCAGTGAGTGTGTTCACTTGAACTGGATTTGATGGATTTTGATCATTTTTTTAGTTTACACAGATTGTGTTGTTTCATGTAACAGTTGGATGATTCAGGAACTATGCTATCGACTTCCCCCCCATGCTAGGCAGGGGATGCGGTAGCATAAGGTCTGGGTCAATTAACTGTCACGCATTTCCATCATGCCATGCATTCATTTCACTGCACCGGACCTATACCGAAATAAACAGAGCACATGTATATTCACCACAGTCGTATATGCATGTATATTTATGCATTTTGCACTCAATCATCATTATACTTCATCTATACATTATTTTTTACGGCATATGCATTACCGAATAAACGGTCACGCATTCACAGTTACGGTACATCATTTTGGCAAGTCATGTTTATGTTTCATCGATAAAGTATAGGTTACCAGTCAAGGCGAACTACCTAGGAAATGTGAAAGAATGTGGTACGGCACGTGCTAAATTGTCGTGGCAAATACACAGCACTGAATCACTTAGCCACGATTCGCTATTTTTTTTTCATAATGATGAAAAAAAATTGTACATAACGATTGTAATAGGTTGCTTCGCAACCCAAAAACCACCATCAAAACCCTATTTGCTGTTATGCTCCCTGAGCACTGTAACGAACTGTATTGTACTGTTTTGAGACGAACAAGTGCTTTGAACTGTAGTGCGTGCACCACAAGCCCTAGAATGAGCACGAGCCCTGATGCACACACCTTTGGTGTTGGCTGTGCACCCACACCAAAATCGTCATGTTCCAGTGTGTGATTAGCATGCCTGAATGCATGAGCTTTGTGGTTAGTGTGCCGTTACGCACTTTCCTGTATCTGGTTCGACAAGTCCTGTGGTTGGCAAGCATGCTCTGTCCGGTATACATATCATCGACTTGGTGTGCTACTCAGTCCGGTTTTACTCTAGTGCACCACACCAGCCCTGCGGTTAGCCTCCCCTGACTTGATGCATAAGCGCTGCCATTATCTTGCCTTGATGCTCAAACCTGGGGCCAATCCACACATTCCTTGTGATTAGTGTGCTCACATGCACAAACCTGTGGTTAGTAAGGCCTGATGCACAAGCCGTGTGGTTGGTATTCCAAGATTGCACAGCCCTGTATTCTAAGGTCTGGTGCACAAGCGCTCAAATTCGGTTCGAATGCCAAAATGCACAACCCTGTGTTCAGTGTGCCATGAGGCACAAGCCCTGTGGATAGCCCTGTGGTTAGCCCTGTGGTTAGCCCTGTGGTTAGCCCTGTGGTTAGCCCTGTGGTTAGCCCTGTGGTTAGCCCTGTGGTTAGCCCTGTGGTTAGCCCTGTGGTTAGCCCTGTGGTTAGCCCTGTGGTTAGCCCTGTGGTTAGCCCTGTGGTTAGTCCCGTGGTTAGCCCTGTGGCCCTGTGGTTAGTCCTGTGGTTAGCCCTGTGGTTAGCCCTGTGGTTGGCCTGGTCGTTAGCCCTGTGGTTAGCCAGCCTCCCCTACGCAGGGGTTTGCTGAAGGTGGTGGGTCACATGCAGGTCGCACAAGGAGGTGGGTTTCAGGAGGAGGAACGTGGAGGGGCAACGCAGGGTGTGGGGGACGTCAGGGACAGGGGAAGGGGGGTGTGGGGGGGAACCAACGCAAGGGGAGCGAAGGGATCGGGACGGGGGGGGAAACAGGAATGGGGGGGGGGGGGGGGGGGGTCAAGGGGGAGAGAGGGGGATAGCACACCTGAGAGTGTTATCACCAGCATATAAACCTATCTTATACTATCCTATCTGCTTCAGCTCTGGCATAGGTCTTCATCCTCCGTCTTGACTTCCAAACAGAGCTGCATCGGCTGTCCTGCAAGCAGACGAGAGGAGGCGGCAATGCAGAGAAAAAGATGAGCTACTCTACGTAATAACATCAGATAATGGTAAGAGATGATGGGTGGTGGTCCGATTTGGGCACAGGATTTACAGAATTTGGATGATACGATGGTATGATACGAAGAAATGTGTCTGGGGTTCAGTCTGTGTTCGGTGTTTTTTTCTCACCTTCACAGACGACAATGCTTTCTTCACCAGCTGGCCACTCCAGTTGTTTCCACTGCCTTGCTCCTCAGTTCGTTCAAGTGCTTACTCTCCACCCCTGCCTCACCAGTCCAATCCTGTCATGTCAACAACACACCCAAACCGAAGCAACAAGAGAGAAATACACACGAGAGACGAAGAAAACATTGAAGGACAGGAAAGAGAAAAGGGCATGGAAGGCAAACGACTGTGAGACATGGTCAGGAATCGTGGGGTTGGAAGGGGTATTGGCGCGCCATGCAAGGTTGGTGCAGAAGAGAAAAAGGGTGGGTGCAGACGCTCACTACAAGAGAAGACCTCAAAGGATGTGCTATTCTTGTGCACCCTCGTGGTCCAACCAATACTGCTGGCGACATGTTGCTCCGCCCACTGCTGTTGATCGCACCTGAAGGAGGAAACACGAGAGAAAAAGGCATGTGAAGAAAGAGAAGAGGAATGGTGAGAGATAAGGAATGTGAATAAAGCGGAGAGGAAGA